CTATCACCTGAATCTCCTCCTAGAGCACCATTGTGTTCTTTGTAACCAAATGTCTCTCAGAGGGGCGTGGGGAGGGGCTCCTTATTTTCATCTAAAGTAACAGACAGAGAATCAGCACTTTGGAAACAGGGCTGAAACAGAGGGGATTATGGGTAATGCTAGATTGATCTGTTTGGTGTTTCAGCCAATCGGAGACAGGCTCTGTATATATCTGAGAGCTGTGATATATTGATGAAAAATAGTATAATAGGGGACCTTTAAAGGAGGTTATGACTGAGTGATCCTGGAGCTGGTCGGGCGATTAGGTCACCTCAGGTTTGGGGACTTGTGGTTCACAGTTGGGGGAAATAGCAGCACAGAATTGGGCCGGCTGCCATTTAAGACAATAGGGCTTCTCAGAGATGGAGCTTCCTTGAATTGTGCAGTGTTTCCACTCAGTGAATGAACATACAAACCCCTCAGAGGTGGTTTTTCCATCATGGCCGACCTGCTGTATAGTTCCCACCAGAGGTTCGGCTAACACGCCAGAGAGCACTCACCCTGAAGTGTACTCATAATAACAAGTGAAGGGATTCTTGGATGAGAAAGTCATTTACCTACAGGATGGAAAATGTGAGGAAGTGCTCGCTTGAGGCTTAATGTGTCCTTGTGTTTAAGTAAGAAGCCATTTCCAGTTTAGATTAACTTAAAGGTCCCATGACATGGCCATTTCTACTGATCATAATTCCATTGTTGAGGTCTACTAGAATAGATTTATATTATGCAATTTTCCAAACTCACATTGGTTTCTCATACAAGCATCTCTGTATAGTATGTGTATTCACTCTCTGTCCTACACGGCTTGTTGGAGCTCCTGCCCCCCCACCCTATGAGCCCACTGTGCTCTGATTGGTCAGCTCGCCGACTCTGTGCTGATGAGTCCACCACCGTTACAGCTGGACATCAGTGATTATGTGTTACAATGGCGTTTGTTAGCAACCAGAAAATGACACCAGTAATGACAAACAGATGAGAATGCTGCGTGGGCTCTGGGTGCCGTGTTGGCGGGACGTTGCGGGGCTCGCTGCTCCGCCCTTTGAGGCTTGACGAGCGGACAGCGTGAGCTGGATAACTGGTGTCGTTTCCTGGTTGCTGCGTGGGGTCTGCGAGACAGCGCGGAACTCAGGCTGAGAAAAGACTCTTTAGACCGTTTACATGCAGAAAAAGCTACATAACACACAAGGGGACGTGTAATAACCGGAAAAGCATGACATGGGACCTTTTTAACAAACAAATAAATAATACAAAGCAAACGGAAAATATACACGTCTGCAAAGATGCAACATTAAGCCCTGATCATGGGATCAAAACTTTAATTTACTATTTTCAGAGTAGAAAACTCACTAACTCAAACTTTGGATTTTCAGCCCCAAACATAATGTACTCTTCTAGCATGCGGTTCAAAATGAGGTGGATTGATTTTCAGGCTCATGCGACAAAGCACAGCGCCCAGACGAAGTTTTAGAAACACAAATTGCTGGACTAAGACTTTTTTTAATCTAACATTTGGTCGATCTAACCTTTTTGTTATTTTGCATCACAGACCTTCAGACGGCTGCTAATTTCCAAACTTCAAGATGAATTTGAAAACCGCACCAGAAATGTTGAAAGTAAGTCTGTGTCTTTGTGCATTACCTTGTTGTCTCATTTCCTCACAGCCTGTCCTCAACTCACTTCTGTTTTCCGTCCTCTCTGTTCAGTCTATGACAAACATGACAACCCTCTTACTTCTGAGGAGGAGGAGCAGCGTTCCATTGCCAAGAGAAAGATGCTTGGCAACATCAAATTCATCGGGGAACTTGGCAAACTCGACCTCATCCACGAATCTATCCTTCACAAGTGCATCAAAACAGTACGTGCCCTTTTGTGTGTTTTGGTTTCAACTCACTTCCTTTTTCTCATTTACTGCATTCCTTCATGAAACCAGACTAGAGTACCTTGTTTGAACTTTACTTATCCCCTTCATCTTTTGTGAAGCTGCTGGAAAAGAAGAAAAGAGTCCAGCTCAAGGACATGGGGGAGGATCTGGAGTGCCTCTGTCAGATAATGAGAACAGTGGGGCCGAGACTCGACCACAACAAAGCAAAGGTAACGGCTCCAGACTTGTAATGGCACTGCAACATCTGCAGAGGATGTGTATGGCAAGAATTTGCGATTACAAAAAAAGATAAACTATCACAGCTGCCAGTTACTTAACCCTCCGGTATCGTTCGATTGGACTTCGTAAATTAGTCATTCGGGACAAAAATGTCCACTGCCAAAAACTGATAAAAGCATTATATTAAAAGGTTTTTTTCTCAACTTTTTTGGGTTCAATCTTTTAAAGCAACTTCCGCCCTAATCAAAAATACCAAATATTTAATCATTTTCAGGATTTTAACCCTTTAAATGCCATTTTGAATACATGAAATCACTGTTTTTCATGATTTATTTTCCATAGAATACATATCTGGGGAATGGCTTCTTTTTTTTTGTTTTGTTATCACAGTCCTGGATATGTCAAAGATCAGCAACAAAATGTATTTTTTTGCATTAGTTTTTGCGCAAAATCAGATTAAACAAAATGAGTCATTCGGGACAAAAATGTCCACTTCAAAAAACTGCTATAAAATGATAACAGATTCATATTTTTACAAACAAAGAATCTTCATACTGTCTGATTATTAATATTTGTTTACATGTTCCTACAATGACAGGCTTCTCCTGCTGCTAAAAAACACTTGACAAGCAAATACAAAATGAAAATCCTGGTGAGACAGTAGCGCATTAACAGTTGAAAGCAAGAGTGACAGTTTTTGCCTGCAAACTATAACAATTAATTTAAATGAAATAACATCAATAGGGTTTTTGAGAATTTACAATATCACAAAAAATCATGAAACTGCAATGACATTTGTTTTACTTTATTTGACCCTAGTCAAATTCAATACACAGAAACATTGATCCTACTGGTTCATAAGGTGGTTAGTTACACAGAGTGCACAAGGACAATTGCAAAAGCTTTTAAGAACTTAATATTTGGACCTTTTACATTATGGTTTTAGCTGGTCTTTTAATGTATTCTTTACCCTGCCAGTCTCTTTTTCTGAGTATTTCTGGTCCTGCCTGGTTTACTGTGTCACCTCGAGTCCTGTCTGAGCTCCTAGTCTCACCTAAAGCCCCACTCGGCTCCCAGCCAGAGCCAACGTAAATCCTGCTGCTGCCACGCTGAATGATCAACTCTCCCTCCCCCCTCTCTCTCTCTCTCTCTCTCTCTCTCTCTCTCTCCAGTCTTTAATGGATCAGTATTTTGGCCGTATCCGATCCTTAATGAACAACAAGGAGTTGCCCGCAAGGATCCGCTTCCTGCTGCAAGACACAGTGGAACTGCGAGAAAACAACTGGATCCCCCGCAAGGCTTTCATTGACAACGGACCAAAGATGATTCACCAGATCCGTCAGGAGGCAGTGAAAGTGAGTGCAGTGAAATCACGGGGGTCTTTGGGTAGATCGCCCACATTTTAGGATAATTATTCGTTGATGTCCAACAGCAAGGATACAAAGATACTTTTATTGTCACTGCAATGAACTGCTATTGTAGTCCCATTCTGCTAAAGAAGAAAATAAAGAAAGCTGGTGATAAGTTGTACTACTAGATACTTCTTAACAGGCCAGGGCAAATGTTGGTATCCTTTTTAAATATCCTCTGGGCTCTTCACAGGAACGTCTTCTTCCTGATATCACTGATCCTTGGTAAATAGGTACCAGTTTAACCGGTTGTATTCACCTGCTGCAAGGCCCTTCTGTCCCGAGTCGTGCACAAACCATGACAATGTTTAACATCTTAAAAAGTTAAAGGGGACCTATCATGCAAAATGCGCTTTTTGATGTCTTTTATACATAAATATGTGTCCCCGGTGTGTCAGGGAACTCACGCAGCGTCAGAAAATAAAACCCTCTCTCTTTTCCTCCGTACCCAAATCTCTAAAAACGGGGCTACAACGGAGCTGATCCAGATTTGCGTCCGATATGACGTAATATCTGAAATGTGGACCCACGGCCCAATCAGAAACGTTGCTATCAGAAACAATGCCCGACTGTAATATGGTCAGTGTTTACATTAGCATCGCTAACACTCAGAGCTAACCTGTACTGGAGAGCATGTGTGTGAAGAAGCAGGAAGTAAAAAGGAACTCACCTTGTGGTATAACCGGCAAGAGAGAAAGCCTTTGAGCTCCATACTGTTTCAGAGATAATCCTTGATAATCCATGATATGGCGTTTCATCACCGCAGTATTTAGTTTAGACAGTAGCTGCCGGGTCCCGCATGAGCTCAG